CTCTCCATCTCACTCTATTTATGGCTAAATATTTTGCCTCTCTCCCTGTCTGCTCTATTTTGATATCATATCACTGAAAAAAACTACTAAAACTACTTTTCTCTCTCCAAAAATGATGAAAAAGAAGTTAAAATGTTAAATGCATTGAAATTACAACAATGTCTGTGGTAAAAAAAGATTTATATTATAAGCATTTGTCTTTCAATTTCAATTTATAAAGCTAATATAATTCCTTATGTATTAAACTGAACCACCATCTTAATTTAATTAAAACAATTTACAGCATATTTCTCAATTAGCATATCCTTCTCCTAAGCTAACAAATCTCCTGACAATTTATTCAGGTCTACAAGTGTACATTTTAACTGAGATTTTACTGTAATAAGGAAAGAATGGATAAAACAATAAAAATCGCAACTTTCATTTTAAATTTCTTTAGCAAGCAATGTCATCTTTTTCTTCGAGTTTGTTTCACCAATAAAGTGATGATTGTTTATTCTACTCAGAAGTATCTTTAAAACATATATCTGCAAAATTGTCACATTATCAAAGCGAAGGAAATAATGCCAGCATTATTCTAGAACTTCTAAATATCTTTTTTTTTTGAAAAAAACTATGACAATTTAATCTGCTATCAGAATTTTAAGAAAGTTATACTTAGCACTTACTAAATAAGACTAAAAAACTATTTGAAAGAAAAATTCTCTGCTCTGATTTTGAAACAATTAGGGAAAATATCAATCTAGAATTAGGTACATTCATGTACTATACAGTAAATATCGACAACCAAACATTTTAAGAGTAATGAAATTGTACAGAATTAGAAGGGCTATTAATGTGAAAATTCAAATCCAAAAAAGCTATCTTTTTTAATAATGGAGGGAACAAGAAATGGTCAACCATACAAAAAATGTCTGGACTGAGTTAAAAAGATCTCACTATGATAAAAGTAGAGAAATTGCAGAACCTGGCTCTGCTTGGAAGAAGCAAATTTAGAATGTCTTGGCTTTACTAACTGTAATTGCTTTAAATTTTTGAGATTAAAAAAAATCTGTAGATGTTCTACAGAATTACTAAGAACAGTCCCTCTGAATCTAATGAACTGTAACTTTTATTTTCTAGATTTTTAATAGTATTTTACGATCAAATAAAACTACTAGTAATTTTTTTAAACATGAATAAATAAATAAAAAACATTAAACTCAAATCAGGAGGATTACAACTTTCATGCTACTTTATTTTAAATTAAATTTAAATTTAATTTAAATTTATTTATTTTGTATTTGTTGAATTACTTATTATTATTTTTTTTATAAAACACAAACATAAAATGCTCAATATAATTTCATACTCTTAACTGGAAATGCTATTGTAATTAATTTGACTGTTAGTATTATTCTGTTAAATGTTATTTTCCATTTACTTTTCTAATTAGTGTTAATATCCGTTTTTCCAAATATAATACTAAATTATTAACTGTTTTAAAAAATTTTAATACAGTAATTAATGCTTCTAATTCCTTTTCATTTCAGGCATGCTTGATTACTGTAATCGATACAGTGAAGGTATTTATAAAGTGTCAGAAACATTTGGCCCTAATCCTATGATGGAAGGAGAAACTTTAAAAAAATTAAATGAAGAAATATGCAAGATATGTCCTCTTGAAAAAATACCAGAACGACGCCAGTTTAGAGAAGCCCGTCTTGCCGATCTGTCTCAATTGAAAAAAACTTTAGATGAAAGGGAAAAGGGACACTAAGAATAATTTTTAGTACTTAAAATAATATTATTTTAGATCTGATAGTTGCAGTCTTGTTGTGAGAAAATTTTTTTAATAATCTTTTGAAGAATATATATTTTTGTATAGATCATTGTTATGAGTCTCATGTATACAGATTTTATTTTTTGACAATAAAAAGTTATTTTAAAAAAACTTATATGGTTTTCATTGATTTTCCTTAATTTTTATGTATTTTTTTAAAAACTTTTATAATGATATTATACATAAATTCTGAATGTAATTCATCGCACTGATAGCGGGATTCACGAGGAATTTTTTTCCTTGAACAAATAGCACATTTTCGCGATGCATTTTTCTTTGAAGACGTTGATGCAAAGAATAAAAAGCACCAAATACATACGAGAAACAAAAGCGAAAAAAGAATAAACCCGACCTTACTCAAATAAATACACGCAAGCGATTAATACGATATCACTTTTCCATAACATCCTTTTCCCATTCCCCCTCCTCCGAAATTAGTAATACATTCGCAAAGCAAACACTTTCAAGGCCATTTTACTGCATTCTAAAGTAGGGGGTGTATTTCTATTTATAGCAGCGCAATGCAAAGCATCGTACTTCGGGAAAGCGTATATATACGCCTGCGGCAGTTAACGCATCGTCTGGCCGAGACGTATATATACGCCCGCGGCAGTTAAGGGGTTAAAAGTTGACAATTTCGTGGAATTGCCCTACTAAGCTTCTAGAAAGCAAAATTAGCAAATTTCTTTTAATGATTGAAAATGAAAATTTCAGATTGAGAGCTGCTGCCAGAGCTGAAGTGTTAATTCCTACTTTTAAATAAAACATTTTAATAGCTGCTTAAAAATATCTCTTTGGTTTATTTGTTTGATCTTAATGTCTTATTTGTTAATTACCATTGTATAATTATTTTTAAACAGCCCATTTACTATAAAAACTGGTGATCAGTAATTACCCCAGAAATGATCAAGAGAAGGGGTAATTCCTGATCACTAAAAATTTAAAATCTTTTAAATTCTATTTAGACTTTCAAACAAAAGAAGGTAGCATAGGACTCATCTCATATAGCCTCAAATTTCCAGTAAATATTAAAATTCTATCTTGAATAGTTTTTTCACAAAATAGATGTTTGCATTTTTTGATCAGGAATTACCCCAGGTCACCCTAGTGGAAAATACATACAGCAATTTGTACTTCATAATTGTATCAACCGAAGTTGAAGGAATAACTTAATGTTATTGTTTAGGATTAATCTAAAGCCCCACCTTCCTCTATTTGTGAAACATATAATTTAAAAAAATAGCTAAATCAGTGTTCAAGATGAATTCAATTAAACAAAATGCATGCAAGAAAAAAAGAAAAAAAAATTAAAGATTTCAAAAAGTTCTGCAGTATTGAAATTTCAAATGGGTAGATGGAGGATTTTTGCTGTAACACAAACATTAAAATATATTATTAAAATATTTCAATTTAAGGTTTAAACTAAGTTTCTTACAAAAATTGAGTTTCTGAAGTGTAGTATTTATGTTTGATTGAAAGTCTAAGCTGTGTAAATTGAACAGAAATTAATATTTCTCTAGATCAAGCTATTTAATTGTACAATATTCACCATCTAGTTTACATGTGTGCATTGAAATTATACAAAAGTGCTATATTTAAATAAAAATAAAAAGTTTATTTTTGGATGATTGTTATAGTTAGTTATCTTTTGTATCTTTGGTTCGTCAAACTTTACAGTTTTAATAATATTTATTTAAATAAGAAGGACTTCCTATTCTATAATAATTAATCTGTATCATTTCTCAAGAATATCTGTATAATTTATTAAAATTCTATATGATTTAGTACACATTTATTAATTAAAAGTCTGAATTAATAGTATTTCATAAATTACCGTTCAAAATAGATATTATACATCTATTATGAAAAGTAAAATTCTCTAATTTAGAAATGCTATTTTTTGGAAATGGGCAAAAAATTGT